CCTGCTGTGCACGAAGAATGAACCTTTATTAGCAAATGGTATGTAAATGAAGCAATACTGATCAATTTAAAACAAATTCATAGAGAGTTAAGTATTAGTATTAAAATGAATCATGAGTTCTGCTTCCCAGCATCTTAAGGTAGGTTAAACTTTGTTTTTTCTGTCCTAATGAGATTCTTCCACCCAAGTCAGTTTTTAATCCCCAGAAGTTGCAGGGTGTATCTCTTTTTCTAGGAGATCAAAGTGGGAAGGGAGTACATCAGCCTTCATGGCCTATTTGCTTCTTTGTGTGCTGTAGTACAGCACTGCGCCATTGTGGTCACTACAGGCTCCCTACCAGATGCCAGGCGCTCAATTCAAACTTCTTTAGCTATGACTCTGGGGCTCAGTGACCTCATTCAAAATGGCCTTACCGCTCTAGTCCTCCATCCTCTAAGTTACGGAATTCCAGATCAGTCCATGTAGAAAACTTCTCCAAGATGTATGCAGCCAGTCCTACAGGAGAGTCATTCAAACCACAGCCTGAAAAGGAGGAGGAACATTTAACTAAAATTGCGATATCCAACTGCTGAACTCAAGGCTGTTACAGAAGTGGCCCGTTATAATATGGGGTAGATAACTTTACAAAGCTGTTCCAGCAGCTATGTTCTTAAATAAGTTAGTAGAACAAGTTGGAGCTATTTATTGTTGAATCATAAACTGATACTGCCTACAAACCAACAGGCTCTGCGTTAGCTCACACTGTATGTTTTTTGAACTGGTGTAATAGTATTGGATTTCTGCTGGCTTTTTTTTTTCTTGTAAGCTAATAAGATTAAGCTCTATGTGCCAAGCAGGGTTTGCTTCCATTAATCTGGAAGTTGTCATGTATTAAACAGCATTACAGGGCCAAACCCCACCTGCCTACACATGACCAGGAGAATTTGCACCATTATCTAACAGCAAAAACATTTTAAGGATTATTGGAAAGTCATTAAGGAAGAACAAGGCTTTACTAAAAGGTCCATCTTCTGAACTAGCAATAGCCAACTGCCTTCATGTAGAACAAGGCTTAATATAGTTTGTTTTGCTTGGACAGAAAAAACACACTTGCACCTGGAACTTAGCTAATGCAGCCTAGTGCTGTGAAATAAAAGGACCATAAACTGTCCCAGCTGCTCAGAAAAACATCAGAAAAAGCTATTCCTGAGGAGCAGCAATATGTTTCAAGTTACACCCATGCAACCCAACCTTCCTGAAAGATGCCTAACACTACTGCTAGCACAATTTCATCAGTAATTGCTATTTAAACATGATAGTTGAGCTTCAGTTATCAAACAACTAACATAACTTTTTCAAACACTCGGTATTTCAGTTGTTATTGAGCACGCTTTCCAGATCTGCAGACCTAAACAAGCAATAGCCTGTTCTCCTATACTTACTGCAAGCAAAGAGTACAGCAGTTTACATACAGGAAAAATTGGCATCAATCCTAACAGTGCTTTGAATACTGGCGCTGCCTATTTCAGTCAGTTGAAAATGAACCCACGCTCTGTGCAGGTTCCCCAAAGAGTAAGTGTAAAATCCATGCAAACCACTTCGATCAAAAGCCAGCTCTGAAGCAATCAAGTATCCTATTAGCAAGCACAGTATATATAAAGAGCCAGAGACAACTTCTGTGCTCAGGACAGCTTGCAAGGTAGTCTCAGGAAGACTGTGGTGGCCTCCACAGCTGTGCTTCTTCCGGCTACCTTACACTCCCTTCTTCAGAGTGTCTTTCTCCCTACGGGAACCTGCCGCCTGCCATGCTGTGCTCTTCTTTGTCCTCAAAATTGCAGTAATGCTCCTGCTCCAGCTCCCAAAACGCAAACTTGCTGCTGGTTCCCAGTCTGTGCAGTCTGCTCTGACAAACCACACATTCTTGTCACCACCAGTAATCAGCCAGAAAACCACAGCAGAAGGAGCATGACTAGGCATCTTTCAGCTTCCCCATCTTTTCTTAAAGCACAAAAGGAATTAGAGACCAGTCATTTTTAGAAACCAAAACTCAAAGGAAGCAAAACTATTTTAAATCTGTAAAATTATCATTTTGCCTACACCTTTTAAGAATATACCTACTTCTGTAGGTAAGCTTACAGAAAACCATTAAAAAATAGTTTCCTTAGCTATGTTTATAATAAAATCCATGAGTGAATTGCTGCTGCACTAAACTAAAATATATTCAGTATTCTTGACTCAGTTGTCCAATTCAATTGCAAAAGATATTTTTAAAATAGAAACACTTAATACTCAAATAAAGTAGTTAAGCAATCTGACTGGCTCATCTAGAAAGAACATTCATAGGTACACCTTTTTTTCTCTCTTGAAAGTCTGCAAGTGATTCAGAACAAGTGAGAACTGAATTTGATTTTACTTTTAAGGGTATTGCTTATCCCTATAAATAAGCTACATTGTGTGCAGAGACAGCCAAAAGCTTCTTGTAGTTTACATCATTTGAATGTGATCCATTCCTTGTGAAGAAACTCTTTTTTGCTCTCAGCCTATCTGCATTTGAAATAGAATTACAGTCCCCAGTGACAGCAGAATTGGAAAAGTATTAAATAAACTATTTATGAAAATTGAAAATTAGGTCAGTGGCACTTAGGGCATTCTCAATTTTGATGTGCAGATTTACTGCTTCTGCGTGCAAAAGTGAGTATACTACTATATACCCATGTGTAACCTTTTCTGACTCCAATGCAGAAAAGGAGCCCACCTTTTAAAACCGCTAACCTTCCTACTTCGATTTCCGTGAAAAAACACCCCACAACTGATTATCTGCATTTTAAGCAGTACCTTTTGTTTCTATGAAGTACAACTAAAATGAACAGACTTAAGTATTCTGAGTTTAAAAGGGTTTTTGTTTGTTTTACCAACAGTATCAGGCTTTGTAGCCTGTATATGAGCGTAGCCAGACTCCAGCAAGATCCTGTAAAGTCCTTTTTCCAAGAAGGGAAACATCCGCCTAACATCTTCATCCTGGAAACCAAAGAGCCCTGGAAGATAGCGGCCCAGCAGAATGGAGAGCAGGTGAATAAATCCCATGTTCGTAACTGAGGCTAGATTTAAATGGAGTCCTTTCATATGTCTAAAAATAAAAACAGAAAAAAACCCCACAAATTAACAAAAACAAATTGAGATTCAAAGTCATTATTAACAAAAATGGACATACTTAAATTCAGACCTGCTAATTACATTATGACCTTAGCTGTACTTTGTAGTGTGGCTTTTCACACAAAAACTAGAAGTCAAAGAGGCTACTGTCAGTAATCAGCACACACTCCTGGATATTAAGCCACAAATCCTCCTCTTGTAACAAGTACGCATCCCACTCCAGAGCCCAGTGGGGCCAGTACAAAACTACTGCACAACTGTTTGAAAGAACAAGTATATAGTATAAACCATGGTATATAATTCTGGATCACTGTTTAACACCAAGCACTGAAGAGAAACACAGTGCTCATATGAGGACTTGGACAGGAACTCCCAAATGCACAAGAAATAATTATTTAAAGAATACAACAGCTTTGCATGCCAATCATGCAGCACTGTACCAAAGGGGTACTCACTTGGGAGCTATCTGGGCCAGATTGGTGCAGATGAGCCAGCCCCAGTCACCACCTTGTGCGTAGAACTCGTTGAATCCCAGTCTGAGCATCAATTCATAGAAAATGGAAGCGGCACTTACAGAATTAAAGTCTGCATTAAAAAAAAAAAACAAAAAAACCCCACCACTGTTGCATTAATTCTAGCTACACTTCTGACTGTTTAGCATTTATTCTCCCTAAAAAGGCAATGTTCAAGTTCCTAAAAAGCTACAAGTTCATTTTTTCTTGCCTGACAGACTATATGGAAACACTTGTCACATCACCCAGGGAAGGTCTGCAGAGCAAGTAGAAACCACGAGGAGAAAATCCAGTCTTCATTGCAGACTAGTGTTCTCCTACCCCCACGCTTTTCCAACTGAGGGGTTGCCAGACTCCCTTTAACCTGTAGCCATGCTCTGGCTGAGCCCTATCAGGGGCACTGAGCATCGCCCAGGCAGCGTGTTTCCACTTTGTCTACTGTGAGCACAGTCTCATGTTGACAATAGTTGGAAACTTTAAGTTTCCACTAGTAATGCATTTCTCCGCTAAATTTCTCCACTTTCACATAAATCATAACCAGGGACGTAGAGAAAAGCAAAACCAACCTTCCCCACATCTTTCACCTGCAGACGTAACTACATACTAAACTCAGTATCAGCTCCAATTTGTTGCAGCTTATATTTGTATAATTCAGAGCCGGAGCTGAATAAGCAGGTACGTGGCAGCAATCTACCATGTAGATACGTGAATCGATTTGTTTCAACTGTTGCTTCTCACCTACCTGTATAATGCTGTTGAATATGGTTTCAAAACACCAAAAAGGAACAATAACAAATTAATTTTACTCTTCCTGCTCACCCACACCCCATTCATTGACTTATGAATTGTAATTCATGAGTTGATACTTCGTAACTTTTTATAGTCCTTTGTAAATTGTCTATACATTGCTCCTGAAACTAATGGTGTCATCTGAACTCACAATCTTATCTCCCTCTTCCCACATTACACACAGGATCTTTGTTTCTACACTGGGAAAAGAAGAGGAGACAGGAGTTACTGTTCTGTTAATAGGGACTATCTCACTGTGAGACTAGGCTGGGCTTAGCTCAGTTTCTTCTCATACATCATACCTTTTTTGTGGGGTGCTTCTGAGAAACCATAGCCAGGGATAGATGGGCAAATGACTTCAAAAATGTGTTCATCGCTGAGGCCATGGCTCGCAGGATCCGTCAGGAGAGGGATGATTTTGTAAAACTCATAAAATGAACCAGGCCAACCATGAACCATTAATAATGGCTTTGCAGACTGGCCTTCAGGCAAACGAGGAGGCTTTACGTGAACAAAATGGATATCAATGCCTGTAAAAATAAAGTAATTAATTAACATGCCCAAATTTACCATGACACTGAAACTAAGCACAGAACTGATTATGAATAGGGGTTTTTTTCTGAAGTCTTATTTTGGTGATCATGCAAACACACTGCACTTCTCTGGATCCATTTATCAAAGTACCTTAAAGTACTTTATAATGGACAATTAAGCAGCAGAGCAGCCAAATGAGGTCAGCATATTTCTGTTTTAAAATAAATTGGCAAATTAAAACACAGAAGTGAAGCAATCTACTAACAGTAACACAGTGACTCACACAGCTTAAAGGCAGAAGAGATTATATCATTAGTCCAAGTGCCCTTAAATTTTACCTAAATGTCCCTATATGGCACTAGATAGGCTTCAGCCAACCACAGGTTTTTCTTCCTGAAAGACATAAAGTTGCAACTGTGTCCATCATAGCCAGCAGCTGTTTGGGGACATTAATCACTTTTCTTGTTTTGTGCGTGCCTTACTCCCCATTTGAACATGTCTGGCTTCTTTCTCCAGCCATTGATCCTAATATTACAGCAAAAGGAATGTAAAAAGCCTTCAGCAAGCATTCTCTGTCTGTGGAAGCCTCTTGTAATCAAGTCACATATCTTAGCTGCTGATAAACTAATCATACTCAATCAAGGATTTGAAAAAATGCTTTGATAAAAGAGTTAGTGTTCAATTTTGCAGGTTTTTTTCTACCTTTTGTCTAAAGCTTTCAATATCTCTTTAAGTGAGTAAACCAAAACAGGAAACTATGTTCTATAGTACCAGTCTCCCCACTGTTAAATAAAAAGGTAAAAATTGCAGTCCTATTTCCGTTGTGATCCTTACAATACGTAACCAGTAGGCTTCACCCAGCATTGCGCTAGTTGCTTGAGGTGACCTGCTTTTCCTCAAACCTGTTCAAGACTTTGCTTTCCAGGAAACAATAATTTGCTTAGTAGAGCCTGAATGCCTCGCTTCTTGACATATTTAAGCACATTTTGCTCACATCAACTCTAGCTCACCAGCAGTCCCACCCAGTTTCACTGACTGAGATTTCCCCATCCTTGACAATCCTGTGGATTTCTGTTTTCTCTGAAAAACTTTCAAGTGATGACAGAAGCTAGGAATCTGATATACAGCATGTTTGATCTTGTCGTTTCATGGCTCATCTCTAATCATTCCCAGTGTTGAAATTTCTCTTCCTATTCTATACGTAGTGCATTGTGCTTAGCTGCTTTTCCCTTTATCTCAGATGATACATTTTTTTTTCTTTTAAGGGAAGACCTTTTGCTTTTATCTTTTTCAGCACAAACCATGTTTTATACATTTAAATAAAATCTTCATGTTCTAACTGCTGTGTAACAACCATTATTGTCCCAAATCCATTTTAAATATTATGGTGAACTGCCCCATTTCAAGTAATGTACAATTATGGGTGCAAGTACAAATGTAATAGCATCATCTCAAGCTTGAATTTTGCCATCAGGCGAGACAATTGCCTGCTTTGCTCTAAATCTACAGCTGTACCCCCAAATGACCCAAGCACAATCCTAATTCAAGCATTTAAAATGTCTAGTTTGACCAAGCTCCAGCACCAGCAGACGGTAGCTGAATGGCCTCTTTCAAAAGGTGTCTGTGCTTTGAATGAGAAGACGAACCATTCACACACCTGGCAGCACACCAACCCCACGGAAAAGGCATTCTGCTTTTCTAGGCCTATCAGTGCTTGAAATGGTGCAGCAGAGCACATCTGCCCTGCCAAGCAGGGACAACCTGAGCAGCCAGCACACCCAGCTGAGGAGAGGGCTGCCAGGCTGGTGGCATCACCACGACAGCAGCAGCTGGGGAACTACATGGAGCAAGAGGAGGCATCTGTGGGTATTTTTGCACGATTGCATGCAAGTCAGGGAACATGTGTACATCTGAAGATCCAGTTCTGCTTCCAAATGCCTGTTCGTGGCTCCTGTTAACACCAGCTGACAACCCATCCATGCACAAGGGAATTCCATTTGTCATTCCTTGTCCTAAAGGCTTTAGTTACGATGGGAGTTTCTTGCCGCTTCAGCAGCAGTGCCAATGATCCATGCCATGGCAGCCTGTCATTCTTACTACTGAGATCACTTGTAGACAAGATTAT